TTCTCCCCCATCCCACCGGGGACAGGGGGGAGGGTGAGCGAGCGGCTGGGTGGTGCTTCGTTGCCGACTGGGGTTAAACCACGACAACTGGACTTTCAAGAAGCCACAGTGCTGGCAAGGTTGTTGGAATCTAGGTCAGTAAGCATCAGTTATTTAGGAAACGCAGGTAACCAGCCTACACAAGTGACAACTGACATGTTGATTTCAGCACTAAACTGGAAAGGACAGGAAGCCTATGGCTTCAATGTCAGACGTTTTTGAAATGCCTTCTTGCCAAATGGCAGAGTGGCCCTTCAGTGGCTTAATGAGAGTCTCTCTCAGCCGTTGAACCCCTGGGAATGAAGGGCAGCTGCTTCTATTCACTGCCAGTTCTCTTTACCTTTTTTTGCAGGAGTGCCTCGATAAATTTGGAGACAGTCTGCAGGAAATGATTAACTATCACATGGTAAGATGCCGCTTCTTCTTGTCTTTCTGTGTGCTGATGGCAACCTCTTTCTCAAGGCACCGATTAATGGTCTCCTCTGTTTGGTGTAGTTGACACTGCACAAAGGTGGGGTCCATGGAGGGAGTGTCTTTCAGGTTCCAGTCCCTGCACATTGCGTAGCCAAAAGAGCAGCAAAGGGCTGGGAGTTATTGTTGCCTCTTGCAACAATATTGAATTGGATGAGCTGTGAGCCTGTGTACTCACGATGGTCCGTCCTGCTGCATCACGTACGGTAGCAAATGGGATTTCCCCAGGCTTGCCGAGGAGGTACCACTTAGTGAAAGGGTATGTACTGTTGCATGGGTGCCTTTTGGCTCACTTCAGATCAGAGATGTACAACAAATACGTAGAAGGGTGAGGTTAGAGACCCTTTGTCGAAGGAAGAGGAGAGCTCACAAAGGTCCCGCACTCCAGATGCCTTGTTCTTCTTTTTGGATAGCACAGGATTTTACAGTGAGGACAGACATGGTCCTGAGGCGCTCTGACAACTCAGGACTCTGGCTGTTAACAGCTTGCGTGTATAACCTTGTTGCTGCAGATTTGGAATACGCTCTGAAGCCTGGCATTCAAGTTTGTGGCATTAGGACAGCGGCAAGGCTGTGAATGGATCAAACCGAAAGGACTGCATTGTTCAGTTGATGCTGGGAGCAGACTCAGTGAGTTGTGTGCAGCTCTGTGTTTAAGGGTAACACAGGACATGTTAATGCTACACTGAGATGAAAGGAGGGAAATGCCCGGACAATTGCTGTTCTCCTGAGCTGACTGTATCTCACTAACAGAGCCCAAGGAGTTAGAATCTGCCCTTTCTCCATCCCAAACATCCAGCCGTGGCATCTGTCAACCTTGTAGAAGAGGAAGGTGCTTCATGCTTGGTGGCTCCATGCCAGACCCACAGTTTTAAGTCTGTAATGCAGTAAGAGCTTAAAGCACAAGTGCTTTAAAGTGAAGGAAGCTTCAGGGTGTCAGCACTGGACTGACCCACTTTTATACCAGGATGCCCCTGTCAAAGTACATTAGGCACGATGCTTGCTTTTGGGATGCAAGTTAACCACGTGCAGCTGGAGAAGAAGCTGCATCAAGTCCCTTTAATTATTTCATGAAGCAGGTGAGAAGTCTGTTTCCTAGTAAAAAATGTCAGGGAAAAGAGGTACTGCACACGCAGCTCTCCTAGGACTTAGTATTTGGGAACAGTCAAAGAGCTGTATGGCAATGTTGTTGGTGGGGAGAGAATGAATAAACCAGTGTGAGCATCAGAGAAAAGGTGTGTTTGTGTCAAAGCAGGGAAAGTCAAACCCTGATTTGCTGATGCTGCTCAAATTCCCTCTGAAAACGTAAGGCCTTTCTGCCAAGGAGCGTATGAACCCCTGAGAAGCTGCCCCTTCATTCCGGGGATCACATCACATCACAGCTGCACTGATAGGGGCTGGGCTGAGGAGTGCGTGCAGCCCAGCCATGAGGAAGCAGTCCCAGCCAGAAACCTCTAGAAGCAGAATGCTGTCTGCAAGTTCCACTACGCCAGCTGTGCAGCTTCCCCTGGATCCCTGGTCTCTGCCAGAAGTGGCACTTCTGGGATTGCTCTTGCCTCAGCCGACTAATAAGCAGAAGGACCCTTCCCAGAGCTGTCAAATCCCCAGCTCATGTGGTATAACCCTTCCCATGCACCCCACCCTGTTCAGCAG